CATAGCTGTTATTCGAATTCCTTAACTTTACAACCACACTGTTACAAGAGAAGTTCTTTTTTACTTTTTGCCATTAATTGATCTAAATATTTTTCTTTCGTTTATTTAAAAACTTATTTCCATTTCTTATTTCCGTTTTCCTCTTTATTTCATTTTAAATTTCTTATTTCCGTTTTGCCATCGCTATAATAATTTCTTTTTTCCGTATTGCCATCGAAGGTATAAATTTCTATTTTCCGCTTTGTCAACACAGGTAAAAAAATTTTTCTCCCGCTTCTCTATTCCTAAAAAAAAAATCCTTTTGTAATTGCCAACATAGCAATGAGTTTATTTCTTCCTGATTGTATTTTCAGAAATAAATTTGGTTTTTTACCCCCCCCCCTTTTTTTTTAATAAAACAATTCTGTGTTTGTTATTAAACTGGATCGTTTGCAATCAATTTTTAAAACTAAAAGCGTGAATTTAAATTTGATTGTTTCCCTTTTTTTTTTTTTTGCTTAAATTTGTTTTCTGAATATGAAAAAAAAAATGCTTAGTTAAATTTTATTGTTATTTTTGCAAATAATTTTTTCTTAAAGCAAAGCTGAAAAGTGTGGGGAAAAGTTCGCTTTATTATAATAAATTAACAGATTTTCTGAAGAGATGATTTCTCATATTTTACATTCTTTTTCAGCTGGAATTCTTTTTCATTGTTGTTCATTTTTAATAATTGTTCTTCGATGAAAAACAGTGGTCCAGGAGGAATTTTTATAAGTAAAACCGCAAATTTAATATTATTCTTTTTTTATGCTCTCTATATTAAGGTGTTTTTGCCTGTAGGAGAAAAATAGCTTCTTTAACTTTTATTATTTATGTTTGCTAATTATTATTTTACAAGATAAATCCTTTTACTGGGTAAAATTTCTCTTTATTGTATTAAATTTATAAGTCAATAATCTCAGTGATGAGTTTTTAATTTTTACATTCTTTATCAGGGTTTTTTTTTGTACTTTTAATTATTGCACTTCAAATATGAAATTCAGTGGAGCAAAGCGGTTTTCAATTACGAAAAAAAGTACAATTTTCGAAATCTAAAATGCATTTATAATTTATAGGAATGAATATAGTAGATACGGAAGCCGCACTGAAAGAAAGAGCATGTTTTCAGGTTTTGTTTCCCTCCTAAAATCTAATTTTATGAAAGTATTATAAATGAGCCCCTTATTATAGTTATTGTGCGAAAACTTTTAAAGTAAAATGATTTAAATTATTGTACAATATTTTATCTGCATTAAGACTTCCTCAAATAATCATTTTCAACTTATTTCTTACTTTTCATTTGTTGCATTCAAAAACTGATTTTTTTCAACACAATCGTTGCATTTTAGAAATCTTGTTTAATACGAAGATGGAATTCATACCGGAATACGAATTTTTGTAAAAAAAGGATTTTGTGATTGCTTATTCTTGTTTCAAGTCCTCATTAAAACGTTCATTTTTGTTTTACAAGGAGAAAAGGGATTTTTTAAACATTCTTTTTTGAACATTTTCACATTCTAAAATATCCTTGTTACATTCTTTTATGAACAATTCCACATTCTAAAATTCAACCTTTAATAGTAATTAAATGCACTTTTAAAATCATATTCTGATTTTTTGTTATTTATATAATTTTTTAAATGCTTATGACCTTTTTAGAAGATTATTTTTTAAGGAACAAATGAAATTTAATTCGTCCATTTTGTATGTAAGTAAATCCTGTTTTAATTTTTACATCCATATTCAAATTATGTGTATGACTTTAATTGTAGTGACTGGTGCAGCAAGTCCGAGTGGGCCCAGTATCAAAATTCCTTGGGAACTCTTTTTTGGAAAATAAATGAAAATGATTGTATTAAAATAAAATTATTCGAAAGTGCCAAAATAAGCATGCATAGACATACATATTAAAACATCTTAACAATTAGCCTAGTTGTTTAATAGGAGCTTTTCTCGATTTTTTTTTCGGCAAATGTATTTATAATAACACCCATGGCAGAAGAGGATTCCAGTTTTTTTAAGTTTACCTATTCCCATCGACAGTATTGCTAAATCCGATAACCAATCTTGTCCTGTGGATGTTCTAAAATAATTTTTATCTTAAAAAAATATACTTCAACTGTTGCAGTAGTGGCCGGTAGGGTCATAAGGGGCAGGCAGGCTGTAATAACATCGAGAAAACTGGAGGTGAGATTACTGAAATTAAAAAACAATTCAACAAGCTCCTTCATGGAATGGGTTTTCTGCATTTCATATTTTAAACAATTTTTAAGGCAATTAATAGTTAAAAAATATTGTGTGTTAAGTCCTTATCATGTTTACGAACTAGTTTTGCAGCCTGCTGTTTTATTTCTTCGATGATAAGATTTATCAGGTTGAAGGCTCTCAAAACTAAGACTAAGATCACACATGGAGACTGAAATCTTTGTCGGGTTTGAGTAACTGCATCTGACAGAACACATCTAAGCTGAAATAACACACACTGATATTGAAAAATGTGATTCCGGATTTGAAATTCTCATATCTCCCAATAACCCTAGGGCCGGCCATCTGGGGGTTGCGACGTATATTATGTACCGGGGCCCTGAGAACAGGGCCGATCCTAGGATGTGTGCAGCGCGTGCACCACACGTGGGCGGCCAAAACAGGGGTTACCGCTGGCCGTATATGGTTATATCAATCAAGTAAAATTTTTTACGAATTTCTGAAAATAAAACTTATAATAAATCGAATAAATATGCGGAATTTTGAATAGTTATTGAAAAGTCCTGATAGCACAGCATAGTATAACCCTTTATCTACCGATGGTACTTATAAAAGAACCACTCACTTTAAAATTACATAGAATAACCATTTTTACGAATACTCTGACGATACTTAACAGGAATATTCTTTTAAATCCACTCTTCAAAATATACGGCAGCACGGGTTCTATTATGAGTATTTTAGCGGGGAAGGTGAATAGTTTTATAGTAGAAATTGCGTTTTCCGCTGACGGCGTTTTCAGCGGATTACGATGATTGTCATTTTTGTTCAGAAAAAATAGTTAATGTCAAAAGGTAAGTGTCTTTTTTTTTCGTATGTTAATGAAGACCTTAGAAAACGGTTTGGCTATTTATTTTTAAGTGAACAGTGTTTATAATCAATTTTATAGTTGAATATCTTTAATCAATTAATTAGCTCTAACGGATTAAATTTCCCAAAGTTGAGTATTTTGTTTATGCATATCCCTTAATTTTCAATGTAGTGATTAAAAAAAAATTGCATGAAAAAAAATTGCAGTAAATCATAATACGGTAAATAAAGGGTTAAGAAAATATAATGTTAGTGCACAATGTGTTGGCTGATATTGTCCATAAATGTCTACTCTTTACAAATATCCTTCATCTGATAGCAAAACCCGAGGAGGAGTCGACAATATCGCATTAAAAAATACGTTTTTTTTTTAATTAGCGGCCATGGCACCCCACTGTGAATTGATGCTTAGCAAAGACGTCTTGCGCTGTTTATTTTTATGTTAAGAAGTATCTTTAAAAAAATGATACAAATTAATACAAATAAAATTGTAAGTCTGTATTATTGACCTCTATTCTCTCACTCTACATGCATTACCGTGGGAATAGAATAGTTTCAAAAATGCTCTTTGATACCCCCCGCCCCGGGGGTATCATCTCTTCCTCTACGCGACATAGATTTGTAGGAGGAAATGATTAATCATCCAAATTCGCCATTATAAGTATAATTTATTATTGTTCAATATATTGATCAACACCACACAAGTCTTACTATAAGGATACAATCAGAAGTGATACAACGTATTTCTAAGTTCTAAGTAAATAGCGCCTGGAATCCTAACCACTATCTTTATGAGAAGTTATCCTAAGAATCTTTATCTGCCTTAGATTCCTTAACACGCTAAAGCCCGTACTATAATTACATTTCTATATTTAATATCTTACCATCAGCTCACGGTAATCAGCATCTCAGCTTTCTTCCTCCTTCTCCTATTCTACCATTCTACCACGTGAATACTAAACCTCCATTATATATCTATTAACTAATATGCATATCGCGGTTTCTTCTTGAGAGAATTGGATATGAAATAACTCAATTATGGCCAGAAAGATTCCCCATGAGGATTAATAGGAAGAACGCGATTAAGCCCCGTCACCGCTCTTCCGTGTGGCAGGCTGAATCATATTAGTGGATTGGCTTGGCACGCCAGATCTAAAAGATTGCCGACCCTGGGGTAGACGCTCAACGCTCGACGTTGACTGTTTTATTGTGAATGCAGCTTTACAGTATGACGTTAATAAAACCAAAATTATTCTCGGAACAATTAACACAGAATTAATCTCTCTATTCAATTCAAAATAAATCATAAAGAATTCAAATTTGAATTTTAAAATCATGGAAGTTATTAAATGGAAGTGTTTCGTTAGCTGTTAACAACAAAAAATATTGCTTATGTACGTTTTATGAAATAAATATTGCAGATGTGTAATTTTTTTAACTAAAAATTGACTTATTTCCTTTTGTCGTTCATATTTTGAAATGATTTCCGTTTTAACTAAATAATAGTTCGAAAAATAAAATTCAGTATGAAGTCATACTGAGCTTGTAATCAAACATGGCAAGACTACAAGTGTTGGAGAAAACTTTCAAGGGTTAACCTAAAACAAGTAATATAAAAAACTTTTTTTAAGTCTATTCCTTCTTAAGTCAACAAAGGAAAATTTTATATTTTAGTTACTTTTTCTTAAATAGTTACAATTCTAATATAAATATGTATATACATATGACGGTATCACAATATTAAATGACAAAATAGAAACCCATTTTCCTTGTAAATTTCCATTTTTCTTTCTATATAAGGTGTTGGGCTATTTTTTTTCTTCTGTTACTATATATTCCTTAATCAAATTGAGTTATTCTAATAAAATAGTATAGTAAAAAATAAATCACATTCTCAGAAATTAGGATATCCCAAGTGGGATTCGATCCCACGACCTTTGGATTAGAAGTCCAATGAGCTATTCATTGCGCTACAAGGACACGGAGAACGATTTTCTTTTCTATGTCGGAAAAAAACTGCAAATTTTTTTTTTATTTTTGTGAAGTAATTAATGTTTAAACAAACAGAATATCAAGCATTGAATAAACATGCATCAGAAATATATATTCTCTATTGAAAATTTTACCAAAAATTTACAAAAAATTTAAGGTCCCAAATGATTTTTTGCTTCCAGGCTCCTTTATAGAAAAGGCCGGCTCTGAATACACATATGTACTTAAGTCCAACATTTTTCTTGGTAAAGAAAAAGAAAAACGTATGTAGTTGTATAAACAATTTATGTTTACAACTACTTTTTTTTTTCTTTTTTACTTTTTCAACAATGTTCTTAAGTGCCTTTCTCAATTTCCTTCTTGGGCCTCTCTTGTTTAATATCTACATTAATGATACCCCTACTCACCCTCAAACCAGTACCAATATTTATGGTGATGACATTGCCATCCTCACGAATTACAAAAACTACGATACTATCGCCTCGGCACTTAACAAACACCTATACCAATTAGCAAACTTATTCGATACATGGAAAATTAAAATTAACATAGATAAAACAGTCGCGGCATTCTTTACCAGGAGAAGAACATAACCCACACGACCAACGTTTTACTCCACACCACTTCAATGGTCTTAGAGTACAAAATACCTAGGACTCAACCTAGATAAAAAGCTCACTTGGAAACAACATATGCAAACGCGTGATATAAATTCCGGAATGATCTAAGACAGGATTACTTTATCTTTTTTCTGCTGGGCCGCTTACATATGTTAGCTATTTCACACGGGCCACATGATTAGGATAAATGGGGGGGGGGGTGCTCAAGACCTAGATAACATTAGAAATTTAAAATGTGGAAAATTGATCAAAAAATTTAACTCTTGTGTGTGTGTTTTTTTAATTATTATTTTTTTGTTTTTTATTTTTGTCATTAACACTAAATTAGAAGCATTTAAAAAAACAATCCCTCACAACTTCTGCATCAGTAAACGGTTTCATATGATTACCAATGATATAACAAACTTCATACAATGCCTTTGTTACCGCTGTGATATTACCACTGACAAAACACTTTGCTGCTGTTGCCAAGATTATTCATGAAAGCCTATATTTATCACCTCTTAAAAGAGATCTTCGAGGAAAAGTGTCATTCAATGATTCATGTTTTTTGATATTTTTTTAAATACAGCACTTTCGTGACAAATCAAACAATTACTGATCCATGTTTGTTTTTCACTACAAAAGAGTCAACCTCCCAATCGTCTTGAAACAATATATTTTCTTCGAATATCTTTCGTTTGCAAGATATGAAAGATAGTTAAAAATTAATTCCAGGCATAAAATTGTCGCTACTCCTCTGTTGTTTGTTATCACTAACCGTAACCGTTCCAAATAGAAAAATAATATCAATTCGTACCCGTACGACACCGACAACAAAAAGCAAAATTGATATACTTGATTTCTTGACAAAGGATTTCCCACCAAATATTTAACACCATGTTCTTAAATTAAATAAGTGAATTTCTCAGAGCAATGGGCCATGACCGGGCCACTTAAAAAGGCCCGGTGGGCCGCAGGTTTAGTATCGCTGCTCTAAGAGCACTCGACCCTTTAATTGCCCGGAATTCGGAAATGCATATTTATAATACATATATGTTTCCGTCTCTCTCTCTCTCTCTCTCTCTACACTGCCTTCTTGCGTCCCATAATTACTTACGGTTCACCTGTGTGGGGCTACGCTGCTGATGTTAATATTAAAATTCTCGAAGTTGCCCAAAACTCTCTAATTCATAATATAGTTAAAGCTAATCGATATGCCAAAAGTTCTGATATTTACCGAGCTATTAAAGTTCTTCCTCTTAAAAATTATATGCAAAAACTGGCTGTTTCCTTTTTCGATAATCTACCTAACAATGACAATATTAATATTCAAAATGATAACAAAAAACTATTATCCAGAGCCAGATACTAAAAGACCTAGGAGAATTTTCCTAGAATCTTATAATCCCCCTAGCAATTAATGTAATCACTCACCATGTGGTGAGTGAACCGAATGCTATCTGACGTTACTAATTTGACATAGTCTATATATTTTAGAGCCTCATATTATAAGACCTATAATCCGTGTTCAGAATCGTAACCGATACTTGGAACCGTAATAAATGCCAATGAGAAATGATATACATTAATATTCTTGCGTTCTTAATATCGTGTTAAAGATTGTGAGACTGTAGGATCAATTCATAATTATAAAATTAACTATATAAAAATCGGATTGAAAATTAGGAAGAAAATTAATCTGATTTTTTTTTTCTGTTTTTTGTTTCCATTTGAATGCAGAAATCGACTGTGGAATGGGCTTATTTTTTTAAAAACTAATAATTTCAGTATATACATGTAATTATATTCTAAGCTCTAACAATTCAACAAATAAAAGCTGCTTAACTTAACAGAATTATTTATGGAAAAAACTAATGACTGTAAAATTTACCGGTTATGTGAATTTTATTGCTTCTAAAAGTCCTATTGTTATTCTCGAATATTTCAATTTGTAGCGAGCGAATGGAGAAATAGTCATAATTTTTTGATTGATTGTTTGTTTAAAGGAACATTGACAGTTATTGCCACTTGTATTCTGCACCTGAAATACCAATATTTTTTACAATAACATTAAATGATTTAGAATGTAAAAGGTTTAATCCAAAAGGGAAAAATAATCCATTTAAAAAAAAAAAAAAAAAAAAGGAAAAAGTGTACTGGGAAAAAAGATGAGGGGGAGGGAAGACGAGGAGAATATGTTCTGAATAGGAAAAGGCCGAATCTTCTGCAACCCTTTACTGTAAAGGATAATGGTTTAACACAGAAAAAGAACTGAAGACTCATCTGTCAAGTCTTCTGGATAGCGGGAGCAAATGGTCCAGAAGAACAAAGAATAGCTTTTTGATGGATTACGGACAATATACTTGCTATTTTAGACAGTCAAATTTTTTCTTTGATGCCAATGGATAGTTATGCTTCATTGTAATGGACAAATATCTACCTTCACTGATCGTCGTGGCTCTTGGTCGACCTTTTCAGCCTTTTTTCTATATATCCTGTCTCAAAAAATTGTCTCCATAAATTGCACATAATTCTGATCGAAGCTTCAGCTTTTAAACCTTGAAGGTATAAAAGCAGAAGTTATCTTGTACACTAAAATATTGTTCCTTTGGCTAAAAAGAAATTTGCCTAATCATCAGATTTTCTTTTATTGTGGCTTTCAAGATGATGAAAGAAGTTGCTTTGCATTTTTCCTCTCATCGACTTAGTTATATGAATGATCTTGTGTTTTTCTAATCCGGAATTTATATTTGTGCGAACCAATCTTAGTAGAAAATGTTTTGAGGCATACATTTTTTTAACAATGGAGCATTATTTCGGGTAATCTTATGAGAATGGTATTCGAACGGGATGGGGGAATAGATTTTAGCCCACTATAAATTATATCTAAGTGATGCTGTTGGTTGAGTTCGAATAATAGCCAGAGATGGAGATAGTACTTAAATTTATATTACAAGAAAATAAATATTTACAGTTAAAGTTTACACTAAAAGGTAATAATGCGGTTAAATGAAAATTACACCCTTGAAGGTGCTGCGGATTGATGCGAACAAGACCTTGCGTCCGTCCGTTGCGTTTCAGTTTTCAGAGAAATCCCCGTACCGGTTCCAAAAAAGTTTCCGTTGGGGTTGGAAAGCGGGAAAATCTCGCGCACTCAGTTACAGTTAAGTGAGGAGTGGAAAGTCTGGCGCACTCAGTTGCAGTTAAGTGAGGAGTGTGGGAAACATACTCCCACCCTATATCCGAACTAGTTCGGATATATGGGAAGTTTGTGAAGTTTATGAACAGGTCGTTTAAACACTGAGTCTTGGGTTTTCACAGTTGCAACACGAACCAGTCCGTCGTTGCCTGGATGCACTTGAAGAACTCGAGCCATTGGCCATGTACCAGGAGGACCCTCCTCTTTGATCAATACGATGTCATCTTCCTTCAAGTTTGGTTGTGCGTCCTGCCATTTCTTGCGAGGTTGTAAGGAGGAGATAAATTCGGAACTCCACTTCTTCCAAAAGCCCCGTTTGATGTTCTGTAGCAACTCCCAACGATCTCTGTGGTTGGAGGCTGAAGGAAGCTCCTCTGGAACTGAAAGAAGAACATCACCTGTAAGAAAATGTGAAGGTGTGAGTGTAGATATGCATTCTATGTCAGAGTCATTAACGTAGGAGAGAGGCCTGGAATTTAGTAATCCTTCGATTTGCGTGAGCAAGGTTGTTAACTCTTCAAAAGTTAATATGGTTTCTCCCAATACTCTCTTCAGATGAAATTTGACGGATCGAATTCCTGATTCCCAAATACCTCCAAAATGTGGTGATGAGGGTGGAATAAAGTGCCAATCTATTGAAGATTTGGATAAGTAGTAAGAGATGGCTTCATTAGTTGGTAAGGAAAGCCATAACTTCCGTATTTCGTCAAGTTTTTCGACGAGCTCCAACAAAATTGGTTCCATTGTCACTATAAATGTGGCGGGGAGCCCCACGACGAGCACTAAAACGACGTAGTGCAGCTATGAAGGAATCAGTTGTTAAGTCTCCGACTGCTTCAATATGAACAGCTTTAGTTGCTAAGCATACAAATAAAGCAATGTAACCCTTTGTAGATTTAGTCCCTCGACCTTTGTTGCATTTAATCAGTACAGGACCAGCATAATCAATACCGCAACTGAAGAAAGGTCTCTCCAGCGTGACACGGTGTTTTGGTAAATTGCCCATCAGCTGTGGTGTTGTGGTGGAGGTTTTGAATTTGTTACACTTTAAGCATTTTCTAATACATTTGTTAATTAATTTTCTACTTCCTACGATCCAATGGGACTGTCGAAGAACGTGAGCTAACAAAGTCGGCCCAGCATGTAAATGAGCGATGTGTTGTTCCTTGATAAGGAGTTCACTAATA